CACACCACCACCACCACCACCACCACCACGCTCTTGCTATGGCTCTAATAGCTCTGACCCCCGGGCAACTTTATTTATTAACATATAATGAAAATCACATTTCAGTACAAATAAAATACCACCATATCCAGGCCTTTCCATAATGTCCCTACCTGGAGTCCAGGCTACCATCTCTTCCACTGTGGACTTTTCCACTCAATTTGTGTGCAAGCCTCTTTCTAATTCATTCACCATATGGCAGCCAGAGGGATCATTTTCAAATGTAAACCAGAGCAAGCCTCCCCTCTGTTAAAACTTTCCAAATATTTTCACCGCTTTTAGAATAAAACCCGAGCTTCATACCATGGCCTGTAAGCTCTTCCACGTGCATCGGCATCTGTCTTCTTCTATGTGCCCGTGCTGGACCCCTCCACATCCCACTCTACATCCCACCAGGCCCACTGATGTGTCCATCCCTGCATCAAGGCCTTTGCACTTGCTGCTGCACCTCTCTTTTCTCTCTTCAGATGGAGGCATGGTTTCTTCCCCTCATCAGTTTTAAAGGCTTTTGGATTTTTTTTGAGCATCTCTTCTGACGGTCTACCCCCTCCCCACCATCACAGCCCTTTAGTGCCACCCTCTCTCAGTCTCTTCTCAGTTCTCATTATAATCTGAAACTACCCTGTTCATTCCCTTACCTGTCCTCCCTGCCATGTTCTCTACCATTCACTGCTCCATCCCTGCCATCTAGAATACAGGCTAGAGATGAGGAATAAATACTTGTTCAATGGTTATGGTAAAAGACACGTGATACATCTGAGGCCCCACAGTTCTTTAGCAGAAAAACAGAAAATGGAAAAATGGCTGCTTAGTAATCATCTAGGACCCTTAGAAAAACTAGGCAGCCGCCGCAATTAGAGTCATGGGACTGTTAAAGAACTGTAAAGTCAGGGGCTGGGGAGAAGGCCCAGCAGGCAAAGCGCTTGAAACACAAATGTGAGGAACAGATTTGAATTTAAAGGCACCCATTTAAAAGCTGGGTGTGGGATGCACACCTGTAATTCCAGCCCTAGTAGGCTGAGACTGGAAGATTCCTTGGACCTGCTGGCCAGTCCATCTAGCTACTTCAGCAAGCCCCACGTGGTCAGTGGGAGACCCTATTTCAAAAAATAAAGTGGAGAGCAATTGAGGAAGATGGCCAGCGTTGCCCTCTGGCCTCCACATATGCGTGTGCACACATGCACACATACATACACACAAAGAAATACAAAGTCAGGTGGCTTGAGGCTTTTGAGTAAAATCATAGTTGTAGGCTGAAAATTAATTTTCATCAAGATTTAGGAAAGAAAGGCAGGAGCAAGGAACCTTTAAAAATATATTCCAAATTTTAAGTCTCAGCAAAATGATAGCCATTCATTGGCAAGTGGAACTGTACACTACAAGTGGAGCAAAAGCGAAGTCTGTGGCTCAGACCTTGTTCACACACACACACACACACACACACACACTTCTTATTCATGCGATTCACTCTGAATATCTCCATCACACTCACAATTCATTTAGTTACACATAGGCCCCATCCTATCTCTATTGTTGACAGCCAGACACCCTAACAGGGTGAACAGTGGCTGCAGGGAGGCGTCACTGAGTAATGCTCAGGGCACGCTCCCTGATAGCTCCTAAAGCATTTGGTTCCCAGTTAGATCAGTTGCTCAAACTCTCACCTCTTGACCAAGTAAGATAATGACCATGATGCCCATTACCCAGCATTCTGGCATGGAGTAGAATTTTTTCCCCTACCAGATCCATCCCATTAAAAAAATATAGTTCACATGACTCTTGTGGTCTTTTCTTAATCCACAATCTGTACGAGCAACTGAAAGCAATAAGCATAATTTAAGTGCAATGTCTTTCCTAATTAAAATCCACCCCAAAAGGAATTCCAGAGTTATTTTAGTCTGTGTAGCAGAGGAAGTTCCATTATACAAATCCAGACTTCTAAATCAAGTCCAAGGGGAGGTGTGCCCATGCATGTGTGTGTCACACGCATGTAGCATAAGTTTGGGGGCGCTACCAGGAATGCAGAGTTGGCCCTGAACAGGCTGAAGGATCTGAATTTCCAGAGACAACTGCTGACAGAGCTATGGGGAGTTACTTTTGAGGTTCCTGTGGCTAGTAAAGAGTCCTGGAGTCCGCTCTGGACTTCTCTCGTGGTTCTGAAGAAACATACTTGAATGGTTTTTCCATGAGGGAATGTTGTCTGAGCTCTCTCAGGAGAGGCCCCACATGCTTGGCGACCCTCCTTGGAAACACTGGTTGCCAGCGCAGCTGTATCGGTCTCGCTTCCCCCAGAAAAGAAGGCAGGCAGTCAGCAAGCCCTCTGCTCACCCAAGGGCTTCTTTCCAGGGACAGTCCACACAGGAAACCAGCCCAGAGCGAAGGCAGATGACAGTGGAAGGAGGGTAGAGAAAGGACAACTCGGAAAAGCAAGGGGGTTTTCAAAGCTTACACCACAGTCTCTCTGAGGGTGGGTATGGATCTTCAAGGGCAACAGATTATTTCCGTGTGGGAGGACAGCTGGCAGAAGTCTGAAGATAATTTGGAACATGCTTTTTCATTTTCACAGAATTCTTCCCATCACCTGGCCATGAACCCTCACCATAACTCTGTGAGTGTTTTTGAAATGGACATCAATGTTTCGATAAATCTGCTATCCCTTGGAAGGAGCAAAAAAAAAAAAAAAAAATGTTTCATAGGTTCGAGTAGATAAATTGTTAAGGGAGGAGTGTCCTACTTAATTACAGGTGTCAATTTGACATAGCCTAGAGTCACCTAAGAAAGGAGTCTCAGCTGAGGGACTATCCAGATCACACTGGCCTGTAGAGGATTGCGTTCACTGTTAATTGGTGTAGGAGAGCCCAGCCCACTGAGGGCGGCAACACTCTCTAGGCATGTTGTCCTGGACTGTATAAGAAAAGCTAAGCGAAAAGTGAGCTGGCTAGTGAATCCCCATGGTTTCTGCTTCAAGTTCCCACTTGAGTTCTGCTCTGACTTCCCTCCATGGTGGACTGGGACCTGGAAGTACAAGCCAAATAAACCATCTCCTCCCCTAAGTTGCTTTTGGTTAGAATTTTATCACCACAACAGAAAGGAACTAGAGCAGTGAGAAAAAAACATGGTGGGGCATGCCTGTATCTTGCGCATTTGAGAGGTGGAGGCAGGAGCATCATGAGTTCAAGGCTATCCAAGGCTGCCTAGTGAGAACTTGTCTCAAAATGAAAAGATAAAAGAATTCCCCACTCCACAGGGGGAGGGGTGGTGGTGGTCATTGTAGTTCTGAGGAGGTTCAGAAAAACTTGGATTGTTTCAAGTGGGAAGGAAGAAAGGGTGATGAGCAGGATCACACAGATAAGGAAATAGAAAAATCACTTACACCTGACCTAAAGAGAGTCCTTGGTCCACACAACTCATCCTCCAAGATAGCTCCAAGGCAGCAGGATGAGGGGTGGGAAGGTGTCCAGGTAAATTGGCTTGAAGTCCTATATGCTAATATGCACAGATTCTGGTTGATAAAAAACATGAAGGACAAGAACAGACCAGGTGATCAATAAGGTGACTTCAGGATGCAGAGACCCCACTCCTAGAGGCCAGGTCTGGGAAGACACATTAATCTCTGAAGAACAAGATGAACACTATGAACTCAGTCTCAGATATCCCAGAGATTAGCACAGACCTGAGGCCAACCTGTGGATTGAAACTCTACCACTCACTATCTTAGGACTGATAAGTTACACCCGACCCCAATATACAACCTTGAGAGAGATGCTGAGGAGAGAAAAATCATGAGCATCTGTCCTTTGAATTGATCTTCAAAGGGATTGTGTTGAGTGGAAGAGCCTCTTTTAATTTAGAAAAGAGGAAACTACCTTTAATTGGACAATTAAGGTTTGAGGGACTGAAATAAAGATGAAATCGAGTTCTAGACCTTTTGAAGAGATTCAATTGCCCCCCCCCATTGAGTTGTTATATCTGATTCTTGACCTGTCTATCATAATGACTTTATGAAGCTGTACAAGTCATTTCCCTGTATGTGTTCTCTCTTGTGAACTTTATATCAAATCAGAATAGATGGTATTATTTTTAATTTCTAGGTGTGGGGTCAGGGGAGAGGAACAAGAGGGAGAGCTCAACAACATTGGCCAAGTTCAACAACGTAAAAGGGAACTGTTTCAGCAAAGCAATGCCGGAACTCTGTCTCTTACCATGGGTTTCAACTGAGTGATTTCTGGCGGGCGATTCTGTTGTCACAGTCAAGGAGGAAGTACTTCTGGTATTTAGAAGGTAAACAGGGATGTAGCTGAACATTTTAGGATGCTCAAGGCAGTTCCCCCTAATGAATTGTCTGGCCTGTCAATAGTGTCAGTATGGAGAAATCTTCCACCCTCTGACAGGAGGTTCTGAGGATGGAAAACGTCTTTCTCCTTTCACACTTACAAAAATGGACAAGGACCAGAAATTTAATAAAAAGCTCCAAGTAATACACCTCCTTGCCAGAGACATCACCTTATTTGAGCTCTGTTTCTAAAATTCTGTGGGGATGTTGGAGGTCTTGCCAAAGAATGGATCTCCACAGCAGGGGAGTACCCAGCTTTTGTTTGGAAAGCAGCTAGCTTATAACCTCCTCTCCTCTGTCCAGTGTAATTGTTTTTAGTAATGTTGCAACTTGTAAGAAGTAATAATATTGGCTAGAAAGCCATAATTTGGTTCTACTGACTGAGTTATTAAAAAAAATCATGGCAGTAAAATAAATATAATAAATAGGAAAAAAGAGTAATTATAATAATGTTTTTAATTTTTCACTAATTTTTGTTTGTTTGTTTATTGTTTTTAAGGCAGTATTTCCCTATCTAGCAGAGGCTGGTTGGAACTCGTCATGATCCCCCTGCTTCAGACTGTCAGGGAGCAGAGATTATAAATCCGTTCTACCAAATCTTTCTATTAGTGTATTTTGTATGTATGCAGTGTATGTATGTGTGTTAATATGTTTGTATATGTGTGGTGCACATCCATATACGTGTGTGCAGAGGTTAAAGGCCCACCTCCAGTTCTTCAGGAGTCATCCATCTTGATTTCTGAGACAGCCTCTCCCTGGTACCTGGGACTTGATGATTAGGCTGGTTGGCCATTGAGCCTAGGGATGCTTCTGTCTGCTTTCCCAGTGCTGAGATTACAAATGTGTGCCTCCACACTTGGTTTTATATGGGTCCTGGGGAAGAACTTGGGTCCTAACGCTTATATGGCATGTACATTACTGACTCAGCTTTCTCCCCAGTCTCTCTTCATTAGTATATTTTTAAAGGGAAAAACTCACACTTGAGTATTGGCCTGTTTCAAAATTATTTTTATTGTAGGTTTTTTGTTTATGTCTTAACATAGGTATATATTTTTTGACTGACTGACTGTCAAAATTGCACTTTTTAGCATATTCAGTTAATGGACAGGGTAGCTTTTTTCACATGAAGCTTTTTTCATGTGTGGGCAATTGGAGAATGCTCAACAATCTAATTTCTAAGATTTTCTTTCACATAAAGCAACAGGTTTACAAATAGGAATTTCCCAAAAAGAATTTGAATATTCATGTGTGCCCAAAATCAGCAGTGATTCATTAAAAAAAAAAAAATCCCATTTCCCAATAGATTCTCCCAAATTACAACACTCCCAATGTCTTTGTTTTCCTCTGGGGTCTAGTCTACCAGTGTTCCAAGTTTCTACAACTAAAATTTTCCACTAAAATACCTTCAGCAGAAATTTCACAATTCTGATTGTATTTGGTAAATGTTTAGATAAGTTATGAGAAAAGATAAAATGGTCAGATAACAAAGACGATTAACATCATCTCATTTCAGATCACTTCAAGCTAGGCATAATGGCACACTCCTGTAATGTAATGTGGCACTTACAATGTGGACACAGGAATATGAAGGGTTCTAATGGAATTTTTCCAAGTCCCTGCCCTGAGAAGATTCCTCCCAGAGTCCTGGGGAAGACACTGCATCCGGCATGGGGTTATCTGAGGGAAACGAATCTACGTACACCATGTTCTTTGGCCATTTACTTTATTCCTCCATGACAAAATTCCATCTGTACAGCTTCAGTTCCATCCTGAGCCTCTGTTCCTCTCCGTATCTACTTTTTCTGTCCCCTCATAGCCCTAGTAATAACTAAGCCCTTATGCTTTCGATCTCATCTTCATTCCCTGTTCCTTTGTCTTCCATCTTTCCTTCCTCTTCTCCTCTCCTGATCTGATTCACCTACAATCTACAAGAAACTTTGCCTTGCTCCTCACTCCTCAGCCTGCGTCATTCTGCCTTACCGTCTACAGAAACTCTCCTTGTTCTTCCTTTCCTGGCCCTGCGGCTCTCTGCCTGCCTCTGGAATTCTGCTCCAGTCCTTACTGCACCTGGTTATGCAGAAAGTCCTATTGCTCTCAGTCAATCACTCTGCAATGCCACTAGGCCTGAAGGCAAGGGATGGTCTGAGCTTCATGTGCACAAGAAACAAAGCTATGCATCTACAGTCTGCCTGTCTCCTAGGCTCTGTGGAGGAGTGTTACCTAGTGGATCAGCATCTGGGAAGCTTATACAGTTTGCCAATATAGTCTAGTAGTATATGGGCCCATAAGAATTTCATAGCAGAAGACAGCTGAAATATTAAAAACTGAATAACACCAAATATTCCATGATAGATGGCTTACTCTACAAAAAAATGGCTTACTCTACAAAAAAATGCCTTGAAATTTCTAAGTACAGCCGAGTCTCTATAATATATTCTTGTGGCCCACATGAGGGTTCAGTGTCATCCTGAGCTACATAACTAGTTAAGAGCCAGTCTGGGATGCATGAAGTCCTATTTCAACAAGAAAGAACAAAATAAAAATCACTTCTGAACAATTAGCTTCTTACTACCTGTACCTGGGGCTGACCCAGCCTACCACCAGACTTTGGTGTGCACCTATTGAGGGTGATCCCTTGAGAGGTTGCTTCACTAGGATTGGGTTACACATGGCAAGCAGACTTCAATAAACAATGGTGCTCCAAGGTTAGAGTCTTTCCTAACTTTGTGGTGTTTTTTTTTTTTTTTTTTTTTTTGTGTGTGTGTGTGTGTGTGTGTTCATGTGTATACATGTGTACACGCATATATGTGTGCATGGATTTAGAGATCAGAGGCCAGAGGCCAACTTCTGTTGTTGTTTCTTAAGTGTAATCCACCTTAGGATTTTTGTTTTTGCTTTTTTTTGTTTGTTTTGTTGTTTTTTTTTTTTTGGTCTGGGACTTGTCAGGTAAGCTAGGCTGTCTGGCCAACTGGGGTTGCAAGTGTACAACACCACACCCAGCTTTTTCAATTTCTATTTGAAATTGAAAATAAAATAAAATATCATTTATTTTATTTTTTTTTTTAGTACTTTCTGAGGGATCAAAATCAGGTCCTGGTTCTTGCAAGACAAATATTTTACTGACTAAACCATCCTCCCAATCCTTCATTGTATTTCTCACTTAATCTTCATCAACAGCCAAGAAGGGTTTGTTGTGTTTCCTTAAAAACAAAACAAACAAACAAAAAAAACCCCACAAAACAAAACAAAAAACTTTGCAAACCAAATCTGTGAAAACAGAAACACATTTTTAAAAAGCTCACACGATGAAGTAGTTAGAGTTAGATTTAATCCCAGTCTCAGGCGTCGAGTCTCCATCCTCAGAGATGCTGGCATCTTTTAGGCCCGTACTATACTATGGACCAATGTACTTAATCCACATAATAGGCAGTTAGTCATCACAAGAGAAGGACATAAGCAGCCTCTAGTGGAAATGGGTGAAATTCTAAGGAGGGAGCAACCACTGGCAACATGGGAGACTACAGAACATTTCAGAGAAAGTGATTTCAATTTATAATGAAGAGTGGGAAGGATTTAGATATTTAGAGTGAATACTCCATCCTAGGAGAGAATGGACAGAAGGGATGAAGGTCTTCCTGTGCTCATTTCTTCATCTGCCAAACAAGAATCCGTGCCAGTTTCACGCTTTGGGTCTAGTATGGGGAAATAACCAAAGAAGAAAGAAGGGTTCCGCATTAAACACTGGGCTGGAAAGCAGGGGCTGCTGGAATACAATGGTGTGTAACTGTGCGCAGTGTTCTGCAACTCACCTTTCTTCTCAAGACCGCAAGACCACTTCTCATCCAGAGAGTAAAGGGATTTGATAAATGGAATCTAGAAAGTGCACCTTCTGATTCCAACATTATGTTGTGATGCTAGGAGGTCAGTATTTGAAGATGGGAAATTATATTGACTTTTTGGTGAATGGGTCTCAAAACCATAGCATGTATATAAGGTCACTGTCAGAGGGCCAGGAGGTCTTGGCTGCCCTCTAGCCTTTCCTCTTGGCCATCCTCTGCATGGAGACATGAATCTCATCCTCACTTTCCCACCTCTTGTCCATGGACAGTTATCCCCCTGCACACGGGGAGAGAGAAGAGTGAAAGCCAGGGAGCAGAGAAGAAAGGGACAGGGGAGATGAAAGACAGTACGATTGAGAGGGAGAAGGGCCCTCAGCACACAAATATCTCAGATCCAAGGCTCCTAGCGGGAGCTGGGGGACCAAGGAATGGCTCATCTTCTTTCTGTACACCCACCTGTCTCCTCTTTCACACCGTGTCCCCCTGCTTCTAAGTGTCATCTTCATTCAAAAGAACGAAAAGCCTTTGGTCTTCTAAGAGTTCTTTCATGAGTCTCTTCTGTGTCTCCACTCCTGTCTGTAGCTGTGGGAGGAGGCGACCTGAAAGAAGGATCACAGGGTTCTACAGTGCTGCCCAGTTAAGAGGTGGGCAGAGGCAGCTGCAGACAGGGCGAGGCATTGCCAGGAAGCGTTGTCAAAGAACACCCATTTTTAACGGCCAAGTTCTGAACAGAAAAATTAGGGAGAACTAGATTCCAGGTGAAGGAGGTTCCTTCTGGAGAAGGCAGCCCTGTCTCAGATGGAGTCAGCCCCCAACTGCCATCTCCTTTGCAAATCAGAATCTTCCAGTTCAGGGGTAGCGGGTGGAAAAGCACTGGGGTGCAGGCTAGGGACTCAACAAACTGCGTCCGGTATTCATTTTCTTAAATTTATTCGAGATTATCTAGTTATGGCTGAGGACATTTGAGTGTGTGTGCTAAGGACTGAGAATGACACGTGACCTTCCCCCTTCTCCCCCGCCCCGCCCCCGCCCAGACCCACAGGGAAGGAGGCTGGGTCAGGATGTACCCC